TGTTTGTGATGCTAGGTCCTGATGTTTGTGATGCTAGGTCCTGTATGTTGGGGGGTGCTAGGTCCTGATGTTGGGGATGCTAGGTCCTGATGTTGAGGATACTAGGTCCTGTATGTTTGGGATTCTAGGCCCTGTATGCTGGGGATGTTATTTCCTGATGTTGGGGATTCTAGGTCCTGTATGCTGGGATGTAGGACCCCTGTATGTTGGGATGTAGGACCCCTGTATCTTGGGGATTCTAGTTCCTGATGTTGGGGATACTAGGTCCTGATGTTAGGGATGCTAGGTCCTGGTGTTGGGGATACTAGGTCCTGTATATTGGGTATGCTAGGTCCTGTATATTGGGTATGCTAGGTCCTGATGTTAGGGATGCTAGGTCCTGTATATTGGGGATGCTAGGTACTGTATATTGGGGATTTTAGGTCCTGATGTTGGGGGTGCTAGGTCCTGTATAGTGGGTATGCCAGGTCCTGATGTTGGGGATGTTAGGTCCTGTATATTGGGCATGCTAGGTTCTGATGTTCAGGATGCTAGGTCCTGTATATTGGGGATGCTAGGTCCTGTATATTGGGAATGCTAGGTCCTGTATTGTGGGTATGCTAGGTCCTGATGTTGGGGATGATAGGTCCTGTATAGTGGGTATGCTAGGTCCTGTATATTGTGTATGCTAGGGGATGCTAGGTCCTGTATATTGGGGATATTAGGTCCTGTATAGTGGGTATGCTAGGTCCTGATGTTGGGGATGCTAGGTTATGATGTTGGGGATGCTAGGTTCTGATGTTGGGGGTGCTAGGTTCTGATGTTGGGGATGCTAGGTTCTGATGTTGGGGATGCTAGGTTCTGATGTTGGGGATGCTAGGTTCTGATGTTGGGGATGCTAGGTCCTGTATATTGGGGATACTAGGTCCTGTATAGTGGGTATGCTAGGTCCTGATGTTGGGGATGCTAGGTTCTGATGTTGGGGGTTCTAGGTTCTGATGTTGGGGATGCTAGATGGAGGGATAGGTGGACAGATAGATAGATAGATAGATAGATAGATAGATAGATAGATAGATAGATAGATAGATAGATAGATAGATAGATAGACAGGTGGATGGATGGATAGACGGACAGATGAGTGGAGAGATGGACAGATAGATATATGGACAGGTGGTGGGTTAGGTGGATGGCTAGAGGGATGGGTGGATAGATGGATAGATGGACAGGTAGATGGATGGATGGACAGATGAATGGACGGATGGATGGAGAGATGGACAGGCGGATGGATGGATGGATGGACAGATAGATGAATGAATGGATAGGTGGATGGATGGAGGGATGAAAGGATTGATGGATAGGTGGATGCATGGGTGGATGGATGGACAGACAGATGAGTGGATGGATGCATAGATAGAAAGGTGGAGGGATGGACAAATGGCTAGAAGGACAGGTGGATGGATGGATGAGTGGTTGGATGGGTAGGTGGATGGATGGATAGTTGAGTGGTTTGAGGGACAGGTGGATGGATGAGTGGTTGGATGTGTAGGTGGATGGATAGGTGAATAGACAGATAGGTGAATGGATGGATGGGTGGATGGATAGACAGACAGATGAGTGAATGGATGGAGAGACAGGTATACAGATAGGTGGAAGATGGGTAGGTAGATGGATGGATGGACAGATGGATAGATGGACGGATGGGTAGGTGGATTGATGGATGGACAGATAGGTGAATGGATGGATAGGTGAATGAGTGGACGGATGAGTGTCTGGCAGTGCAGTATATATGGACGTTACAAGTGCAGCCATTGGATAAAACAGGAAAGTTACAGAGAAAGGTCCGGCAATATAAAACAGAACGATTATCAGTGTCACACTAGAACCGGGTTAAGATCCGGGACAGAAAAATACAACTTTAATGCAAATTTTCGTTCACAATTGTGTTTTTCTCTGCTGGATCCTAACCCGGTTCCAGTATGACACTTCATCATCCATCTGTATAATTTCTCATTATCAAAATCTAGAAAGATGTGAGTTAAATATAGAGAGATGTCCATTGCTCCTGAGATTCTGACATTGTAGTACAGACATTAGGATATTAGGAGTTCCGGTATATATATATATATATGACCACCGTGCCCTGTGACTGAGCCCTGTGCGTGTCTCTCTCTAATTAATCTCTGTGATGCCAACATGTCAATATACATGCATGCAACTGGAAAAGCACAAAAAACAACAGGGTACGTCTACAATCATTGTACAGCAATCTAGACACGTTGCTGATGTTTTCATTCTAGACATGCGGTCACGTTGTGCTTACTTGTGCAGTCACACATTAAGGTAGCACATGGTGACCACTCTTGCCACAAGCATCTATTGTATCTTTGGTTTGCAGATAGATAATATATACATAGTAATGCGGGGACGTCTGTCTGACTGTGTGTGTGCAATGATCAGATCCGAGAGGGGCAGAAAGATTGCAGGGTTTAGAGACGGCTACTTAAAAAATGTAGTTGAAATGTGGATGTGCGGGGAGACTGAGAGGATTCGGGAGAGCTCATCAACGAGCTGTTTATGTGTTTATGCGTATAACTGACAATAGGGGGGTCAGCTGATGCTCTTCAGAATGCGGAATATCTTTTGGAAGAAGAGTCATACCCTGTCTTCAATCATTTTCACCATGCAAGAGTATCTCAAGTGCATTACAAAGATATAATGCCGGAGGATGTGATTTAGAATAGAGATTTGGAGGGGTGAGGGTCCATCTGTGGCATAGATGATGAGCTATCTGTATGTTTCTAACAATAACATTTACAGTGATGTCAGATACACAATATACTGGGGTCCTCTGGACCTGGGTATGTTGGGGATCTCCGATTTGGATACTGGGGATCACAGGTCCTGTATTTTGGAGGATCTCAGTTCCTGATGTTGGGGATAAAGGCTCCAGATATTGGGGATTTCAGGTAGTGAATGCTGGGGAGCTTGGATTATGATTATGGGGATCACCGGGATCTTAGGTTCTCAGGTTTTGGAATGAGAAGGTGTCAGAACCTAATTTGGGGGATCTGGATACCTGGATGCAGGGGATTACAGGTCATGATAGGCTGTAAGGTCTTGATATTTGGGATATCAGAGTCCGATACTGTGATCTGGATTCACCTGCATTTGGGGATGTCAGATGCAAATGTTGAGGATCTGCGTCCCCTGGATGTTAGGGATGCCAGATCCCGATACTGGGAATGCTAAGTCTTGATGTCAGGGATGTGGGACCCCTGCAAGTTAAGGATACTCGGTCCCCTGTATGTTGGAGATGCTAGGTCCTGATGTTGGGGATGTTAGGTCTTGATGTTGGGGATGTAGGACCCCTTGATGTTGGAGATGTTAGGTCCTGATGTTGGGGATGCTAGATCCTGTATGTTGGGATATAGGACCCCTGTATATTGGGGATTCTAGGTCCTGATGTTAGGAATGCTAGGTCCTGATGTTGGGGATGCCAGGTCCTGCATATTGGGTATGCTAGGTCCTGTATATTGGGGATGCTAGGTCCAGTTTGTTAAGGGTGCTAGGTCCTGTATGTTGTGGTTGCTAGGTCATGTATGTGGGAATGCAAGGTCCTGTATGTTGGGGATGCTTGGTCCTGCATGTTGGGAGTGCTAGGCCCTGTATGTTGGGGGTGCTAGGCCCTGTATGTTGGGGGTGCTAGGTCCTGTATGTTGGGGGTGCATGTTGGGTATGCTAGGTCATGTATGGTGAGGATGCTAGTTCCTGATGTTTGTGATGCTAGGTCCTGATGTTTGTGATGCTAGGTCCTGTATGTTGGGGGGTGCTAGGTCCTGATGTTGGGGATGCTAGGTCCTGATGTTGAGGATACTAGGTCCTGTATGTTTGGGATTCTAGGCCCTGTATGCTGGGGATGTTATTTCCTGATGTTGGGGATTCTAGGTCCTGTATGCTGGGATGTAGGACCCCTGTATGTTGGGATGTAGGACCCCTGTATCTTGGGGATTCTAGTTCCTGATGTTGGGGATACTAGGTCCTGATGTTAGGGATGCTAGGTCCTGGTGTTGGGGATACTAGGTCCTGTATATTGGGTATGCTAGGTCCTGTATATTGGGTATGCTAGGTCCTGATGTTAGGGATGCTAGGTCCTGTATATTGGGGATGCTAGGTACTGTATATTGGGGATTTTAGGTCCTGATGTTGGGGGTGCTAGGTCCTGTATAGTGGGTATGCCAGGTCCTGATGTTGGGGATGTTAGGTCCTGTATATTGGGCATGCTAGGTTCTGATGTTCAGGATGCTAGGTCCTGTATATTGGGGATGCTAGGTCCTGTATATTGGGAATGCTAGGTCCTGTATTGTGGGTATGCTAGGTCCTGATGTTGGGGATGATAGGTCCTGTATAGTGGGTATGCTAGGTCCTGTATATTGTGTATGCTAGGGGATGCTAGGTCCTGTATATTGGGGATATTAGGTCCTGTATAGTGGGTATGCTAGGTCCTGATGTTGGGGATGCTAGGTTATGATGTTGGGGATGCTAGGTTCTGATGTTGGGGGTGCTAGGTTCTGATGTTGGGGATGCTAGGTTCTGATGTTGGGGATGCTAGGTCCTGTATATTGGGGATACTAGGTCCTGTATAGTGGGTATGCTAGGTCCTGATGTTGGGGATGCTAGGTTCTGATGTTGGGGGTTCTAGGTTCTGATGTTGGGGATGCTAGGTTCTGATGTTGGGGATGCTAGGTTCTGATGTTGGGGATGCTAGGTCCTGTATAGTGGGTATGCTGTGTCCTGTATATTGGTAATGCTAGGTCCTGTATAATGGCTATGCTAGGTTCTGATGTTGGGGATGCTAGGTTCTGATGTTGGGGATGCTAGGTCCTGATGTTGGGGATGCTAGGTCCTGATGTTGGGGACATCAGATTCTGATGCCGGGGTTGTCAGCAAGGATGATGCAAATGACACCAGGCATGCCAGGATGTCACGGAGAGGACGGCTGGTCACACATTAGCGTGTCTTACCTCCGGCGAGCTCCCCCGGCTCGTCCATCCTTGCCCCCTCCAGAGAAAGCCGAGATCCCGCACCGATCCGAGCACTCTCTCCCGTCCGGCCCCCCTACCCGCCCCCCATGTCACTGAGGCACCGGGCGATCCCTGGCAGCTCCGGCCGGCATCTCCTTCACATCCGGGCGACCGCGGTTCTCATGGCAACCGCTCCAGTCTCCTGTCACTGCACATTGGCGGAGAAAAGGTTAACCTGCCCGGGGGGCGGGGCTGGGATTAACTCCCGCTGGAGTGGAGAGGGTTTAGGGATGGAAGTGACGCCACTGGCTGGGGAGAAGGTGGGCGGGGCTTGGGTGCTCGCGGTACGGCGTATGGGAGAGCGGAGCGCGCTGCTGGGAGGACCAGCGAACTCTTCATAGACTGTATTAGGAGCCCTGTGCGCTGCTGTCATGGGGGACAGTGATGTGCGCTGCTGTCATGGGGGACTGATCGTGGGATGACAGTGCTGGGGACATGTAGTGCGATGGGGGATCTGACGGTGCTGCGGACATATCGTACGATGCAGTGTGATGGGGGATCTGACGGTGCTGGGGACATATCGCACAATGCAGTGTGATGGGGGATTTGACGGTGCTGGGGACATATCGCACAATGCAGTGTGATGGGGGATCTGACGGTGCTGCGGACATATCGCACAATGCAGTGTGATGGGGGATCTGACGGTGCTGGGGACATATCGCACGATGCAGTGTGATGGATCTGACGGTGCTGGGCAAAGTTTATAGGATGCAGTGTGATGGGGAGTTCAGCATATGAGAGGGTTTAGCATTTCTGTGCTGTGGGTTCAGAATAAATGATGAGGTTTGGAGGTGCTCTGCAGTGTTTTAAGCTCACCACACATTACAATCTGATTGCACAATTAAGAGTATGTACAAGGGTCTGCCTGATAAATCAGTTCCTGGTGTTGATAAATTGATATTGAATTGATTGTATGTTCCCATTGTAATGTGTATGGTAACAGTGGCGTCACAAGGAGGGTGTGGCCCGCACCCGGGTGTCACCATTGGAGGGGTGACACGAAAATGGCTGACAGTCATTTTCCTGTCACTCCCTATGAAAAGTTGGGCACTTGGTCACGGACCAAGAGCCCGACAGTGTCAGGAGAGAGGAGGGGACCTGGCAGCATACCTTATCCCGCCGGGTGAACATCCCCTCCTCTTTAACATACGGACGCCGAAGGTGGCCCCGGGGGGGGGAGCGCAGCTCGATACAAATGATCCGGTGGCTGTATAGACGACGGATCGCTTGTACATTAACAGCCATCGCTGGCTGTTAAAAATGACACCAAGAACACGTCTGCAGCAGCTCTGTTCTTGTTTTAACCACTTCTGCGGGACGCCGTATGTATATGTATTGCGGCCCGGAAGTGATTAAATAAACATATTTCTATTTTACTTACAATTTATTGTGTTTCCACTTCCTGGTCCACTTTGGCACAAATAATGTTATCATGCCCAAGCATTGCATCCTGCGTGGGGTACATCAGCAGATCATTGCTGGGAAATCTCATCTGTGATCTCATGGAAAGGTATTTTCCTCCCCTGAGATGATGTCCTAGTCACATGTGCCAGAGTTCCAGGAATTAAGGGGAGATATATTAATCTGCCCTTAGTAAAAATGGCCACTGTGAGTAGGATGAGGAGAAAAATAAGGACAAGCAAAGAATACAAAGCTGGCAATTATCTAGAAGTATGTGTTTGTAGATTGTCATTACTAAACATTCTAAAAGGTGCCTTTGTTGTTATTTTGGAGATATGGGTAAAGGTCCGCTTTAATGAGAGGAAGCTCAGTTTGTCCCTCTAATTTCACTTTCAGAATGTTCAGAGTAGCCTGAAACCTACACAAAAGCTGAGTTGGGGTGGGCCACTGCAGTTCCAGGGTTGGTGGTGCTGTGCTGGGTGCCAGCGGTATAGATTGGCGTCACTGGTTGCCAGGAGATGGGCAAGATGCCAGCCAGAGTGTCCCACTCAGCTCTTAGCAACCAGTGACGTTTGTTAGTTGGAACTGACACTGGCCAGAATGTCACAGGTTGCTAAGAGCTCTTAGAAACCTGTGACGCTCTTGCCGAAAAGGGGGCGGCAGGCCTCCCGTCCCCCCACAGGTCCCAATGAGATCAAGCTGTCTTATTACAAGGATAGCCCTACTAGAAGGACTAGGGATGACTTGTACAAGGCAAGTTAGAGGTCTGTAGTTGGTAAAACATCTGCCAATATATGAGTGAGATTTATGCCAACGTGACGTCTTACTCTTCCCACGTCTTCAACTGAAGGATGGTAGTGACCCACATGGTAAAAACAAACATAATTCACATTTCTCTAAGTGTGCTCCTTGTTGAAACTGCTTGTTTCTCAAAGTAAGCAATTGTTACTGCCTGCATTGAGAAACAAGCACTTGCAGCAATGAGAAGCAATCATTCCCGCATCCCTGCTTGACCTAATTGTTGCTGGAAAAGGTTGTACTGTCTTTTGTTGGCCTGTGTATGACTATTTTTTTAATGATACTTTTTATCTTCACTCCATCCCACAAGTGTCCTAAAGCATTCCTGGAATAACGATTCAAGATACACAGGATAGTCTATAAATACATAATGCCCTTGTGTAAGTGACTATACAGAGAGCCACAGAGCAGATCTGTGCTTTGCAACGGGTTTTCTTTGAACAGCTCCTTTGAAATGGATTGGAGAAGCTACATAGAGCGATATCGCGCGGAAATATAAGCGATATCGCTGCAAAAATCGCTCAGTGTGAATGGGGTCTAAGGGTCCCACACTAATTTTTTTCTCCATTTCCTCCTCCATGGCTTATACACATTTTTTTCTCCATCCCCCTCCATGGCTTATACTCATTTTGTTCTCCATCCCCCTCCACCAGTGGCTTATACTCATTTTTTCTCCATCCCCCCTCCACCAGTGGCTTATACAAATTTTTTCTCCATCCCCCTCCACCAGTGGCTTATACTCATTTTTTCTCCATCCCCCCTCCACCAGTGGCTTATACAAATTTTTTCTCCATCCCCCTCCACCAGTGGCTTATACTCATTTTTTCTCCATCCCCCCTCCACCAGTGGCTTATACAAATTTTTTCTCCATCCCCCTCCACCAGTGGCTTATACTCATTTTGTTCTCCATCCCCCCTCCACCAATGGCTTATACTAATTTTGTTCTCCATTCCTCCTCCACCAGTGCCTTATACAAATTTTTGCTCCATTCCCCCCTCTACTAGCAGCTTATATTCATGTGTTCTTCATCCCTAACCATCAGCGCCTTTTACTAATTTCTTCATCACTCACACCTACTCCCCACCCCCACACTGCTCCATTTATCCAATCAGAGGGCAAAGTACATGGAACTTCCTCCATTTGACAGCGCTAGTCTTCTTTTGCCCCCGGTGGCTAAATGATTCAGCAGTAGGGCAGCAAATGAAAAGGTACTTATGTGCAGCTAGGGGGGTTGAAGTGAATCTACACGGGCCTATTGCAGGTTTACTTTAAAGCAACCCACATCACTTTGTTATTTACACACTCTAAAAACAGTGTCATTCACACCACCTTCCCACTCACCTTCATTATTTATACATACAGAATACAGATTTGCTGCTGCAATGGCGAATCTATATATATTTGACACAGCCAAATGTCCTATTCAATACATAGAACATTACAAAAATATCAAAAATTGGATATAGTAAGAAAAACAAGAGAACGTACAACTTGTTCACAATGCTCTCTGCCTCTCCCTGTCACAAATACCTAAATACCTATTGTTTTCCTGTGCTCATAGGCAGTGGCGTAACAACCGGGGGTGCGGGGGGGTCACTTGCCCGCAGGAAACTGTATATCCAGGGCTTGTGGCAACAGCAAATACAGCATGCCATTGACATAAGTTTGGAAACATCTGGCAACAGCACATGCAGCATGCCATTGACATAAGTTTGGAAACATCTGACATCTTTGAGAATTCATTGACAGGTGCATTTGACCTTCCTCAAAGTGACATTAAACCCTCAGATTTTTTAACATAAACCAATACTGTAATGTGTGCCTTACTGTAATCCATGGTAGTTTCCCTTCTCTTTGCTGCTCTTCCTTTTAAATCCTCATGTCTTCTCATGCTTGGGGAGAACTTCCCTTTGCAGCTGAGTGCCTCTTCCTGTAGTGCTGGCTCAGGTCGTGAACCTTCACACAGACACCATGTATCCATTTCAGAGACAAGGCAGAGCAGCAAAGGAAGGGAAACAACCATGGATTACAGTAAGGCACACATTACACTATTGTTTTATGTTAAAAAATCTGAGGGTTTAATGTCACTTTAAGCTGCTTCTACATTCCCATAGACTTGTATTGGGATAGAAGCAGTTATGTCATGAACAAAAGCCTTTCACCATAGGCCCTAAATATGCTAATGATTCTGATGATAGCGATTCTGATAGCCAGGAGAGAGCAAGGAGAGACAGCCAGGAGAGAGTGAGGAGAGATAGCCAGGGTAGGGAGAGAGAAGAGATAGCAAGGAGAAACAGCCAAGGTAGAGAGCGTGGAGAGACAGCCAGGGAAGGGAGAGAGAGGAGCGACAGCCAGGAGAGAGACAGCCAGGGTAAAGAGCCAGGGGAGAGAGTGAGGAGAGACAGCCAGGAGAGAGCAAAGAGAGACAGCCAGGAGAGAGAAAGAGGAGAGACAGCCAGGAGAAGTAATGAGGAGAGATAGCGAGCAGCACATCTGTCTGAAGCAGAAGCCCTGTGACATTCAAAACTTATCTGCACCCTGTGTTTCAGACGCCTCTTTGCTCCCTGAGGCCCAGCGTCCTTCCGTGTCCAATGCCTCCTCCATGCACTCAAGTTGGAACACCAGGACCCCTTGGTTGCCCCTGTCCGCCTGACATCATGAAATCTTGTGTCCAGGTTTCAGCTAGCCGCTGCATAATGTAAGAGCCCCCTCTCTGTCCCCAGCCCCCTGCTGACCTGATGGGACCTGGGCCGGGTACAGAAGGGGTGGATCCACCCCCGAATGGTGGCCCTGCCCACGGGCCAAAAGTAACCGGTCCATGGGCCGGTACTTCAAGGCCCCTGCTTTACAGGTTTATAGCCCTGATGAAGAGGATAAACTAAAACCCGCAACTGCATTGGCTAAGATTACAGCACTCAAATAAGCCATCTTTGAATAGGAACCATTCGTCAATCTTTTCTTTTGTGGGTTGATGGTTTCCTGTGTATGTGAGCAGCCAACATCTTGTGATAAATGATAGTTTTTGAGTTGCGCCTGA